TCGAACCCGCGGGCTCAGGCTTCCACTCACCTCAGCCTCCCAAAGGCACGGGATTACAGGCTGAGCCACCCAGCCCAGCTGAGAGTCATTCTTGTTGCTAAGACCTTTTACCGCCTGTCCCTGGGCAAGATACTAAGTAGTGCTGAAGTTCCTTGTTTTATTTTTCATATCTTAAAGGTAGAAAGTTATGAAATTGTTTAAGTCTTTAATTACTGCATTTGTGACAAGTCAACTATTAACAGAAAGCTGTTATATTATCATACATTTCATAAGACATTATCCTTTGAGTTAATCCTGCTTGATAGTCTCAGTTGTGTCTTGGACCATATTATGTATATTTCTCTTTAAGCGTTTGACCACAGGAGTTCAATAACTACTTGAAAAGGTATTGTATTCCTGTTAACACCTCCTCCCACCCCCACCAGAAAGGAGTTGGGGAAATACAAATTTTGCTTTGTTTGATCTTGCCATTTAGTAGAGTAGTTAAGCCAAATTAGTATGTAACTTAACTTAGTGTTTCTAGTTACATGGTAGCTAGTAAGATTCAGTGATGATAGAGACAGTAGTTCTGTGACTAGAGAGTTCTTAGAACAAATTTAAACATATCTATAGTTCTTAACTCAAGGGACTTTTGTCCTGACTAGATGTAGCTTGTTGCTTCATCAAAATTAAAAGCATATTGGTATGCTTTTAAGTAGTTAAGTGTTATTAGTTATTATTTATCTTTTCTGGTATGGCTGTGAGTCCACTGTAGGGCTATGAGTACAGGCCTACAGCAGACCCTGCTCTTGAGTAAGTTTTCATCCCCAAGTGAAAAGTTGACCTCTTTGCCTTAGGAGGGAGGAGGTAAAATAATCCTCAGTCACTGCTAAATTCCTTGTAGCTACAGTCATAGGATCTAGGTTGTAGGACAAGTCACAGTGAATGTCTTTTTCTCCTGCTTCTTTCTTAGTCACAGCTGGGAACTGTGGGAAACAGAAGGCAGGATGTAGTCAAGGATATTTTGTTTTTTATGTATTTTGGTTTTCATGCACTATGAAGTAAGATTGTGCTTTCATTTCCACAAGAAGAAAAGTTAAATGAAAACAAAATTTTAAAATTTCATTAAATGTTAAGTCTAAGAAAAAAAATCTTATTGGTCTCATGACTCTTCTCTTATTTAACAAACGACTTCATATAACAAAATCGAACTGTAGTGTATTTCCTCAGTTCACAAATTATTTAGTAATAGATGATTTGGTTTTTATAATAGTGTATATTCTGGAAGTTGCCCAGAATACCTTGTTCTTTTCAACACTTGTTGACATATCTTTCTGAAAAGATACATCTGCAGGATTTTTTAAATGGTCTCTCGGGGATGGACATTCTGAACAAAGATTCTATGTGATTCTATGTGATGGTGTGATAGTTTCTGGCTATACAAAGTGGCTGGCATGAGAAATTCTTTTTCTTTTGTCCCAAGTATTCCTATTTTATTGCACTACTGAGGAAACTATTTTCTCATTTGCTTATTTTCTCTTCTGCTATACTTCAAGACTCTTCCCTTTTCTCTGGGTAGGCCACCTTTATGAAAGAGTTCTTTGTTATCTCAGGTTAATTATTCCATAAATAGTTGTTGAGTACTTATTAAGTTCAAGATAAGACGCCAAAATTAAGGAACCTTCATGTCTTACAGGGCATGTTGTAGAAATATTAATCTTATGATATGCTGCAAAAAAAAAAAAGATTTCAAAGGCCAAATAATTATAGAAAATGGGTGTAGTCTGTTTCATTGGAGACTCTGACAAGTCCATTTCCAAACTTTTTGGACATAAGACTGTTTTATTTTTTACTGCTTGTTAACTTAATTTTGTTAATTACAAGGTACATACTTTGAAAAATGATAAACTAGATATAGAATCCATCCTTATCAGCAAATAGAGAAGTAGATAAATAATAACATACTCTAGAAATAAAGTTATAAATGGTATCAAAGAGGTCTGGATAAAGTACTGTAGGTGTTGAGAGGATGAGAAAAATACCTCTAGAAGAAGGAAAGGATTAGGGGTGGTATTTGAATTATGTACACAGGATAAATTAGATTTGTTTGTGGAACTGGGTAGAGGGACGTTCCATTAAAGGAGACAATAAAAGCCAAGATGTGAAGGAAGGATTGAAGGCCCTGGAGACAAGGGAAATGTTCATTTTGGCACTCATGAAAAGGAGGAATAGCATATAAAGGGTAAATTGGGGTTTAATTGCAGAGGTCCTAAATGCCAGGATTACAAATTCTGTTTTATTTTTCTTCCTATAAATGTAGGTTGTTTGATAATAGTGCTTGAGGTCTGGTAATTTGACTGTGATGACAATGGCTGTTTGACTTCCAAATTAGAATGTCAATATTCAAGAACATATTTTCCCACACAAACACATTTATTTGTTGCTTAGATTTTTCAAATGAAGTTACAAAAGCTATTTAAATAGACTTTTTCAAACATTGTCTCTCTTTCAGTATATATTAATGAACATAAGATATACAAATTAAGGAACATACCCTTACCTTCAAAGTGCTGACATGCTATTTATTTTAACTGTATTAGTTGTTAAATAAGTGTTTGTAGAACCTGGCTACAAAGTGTTCCAGAATTGTCTGTTGATTAGTTAATCTAGGCAGGTGAAATCCTAACCTAATTCAATGGGGACAGAGAAGACAGGGAATTTGAGAAGACATTTTGGAAGAAGAATCAGAAGAATTTGGTTACTAAGGAGATAATTCCAAATTTGTGAACTTCGAAAAGTAGGTAGGTAGTGATTCATTAGAGGAAGAAATAATGTATCCAATTTTTAAGAAATATATTTAAACTTCAAGGTTTTTTTTGCAAGATATCCTGGTAAGAAAGTCCAGAAGGCAGTTGGAAATATGACTTAGTAACTCAAAAAGAGGTTACAGTTAGAAAAAGCAGTTTAGGAAGTATCATTTTATATGGGTGGTAATTCAGACCCAGGAATGGATGACATCTCTCATCATTGTACCTTATTTTGTGATCTTGGGCAAGTTACCTAACCTGTTTGTGCCTCAATGTTCTCATCTGTAAAATGAAGGGTGTATTACCCATCTCAGAGGGTTATTTTGAATATTAAATGAGTTGATAAATTTAAATTACTTAGGAGAATACCATTAAAAGACTAGTAACCATTAAAACAATTAAATTGTGGCCACTTTCATTTTAAATGAATTGGAAAGAGGACTAGATGGAGGATCTGTCAGGGAGGAAAAGCCTTCAATATTCTCATTCTCAGCAGACTAAGAAGAAATGATCCAAGAGGTAGGATATTATAGTAGGAGAGAATTACAAAAAGGGACTGTGGAAGATTATGTTTTCCAGAATGGCCACAAGAAACTCTGCCATTCTACATTGTGGTGTTAACACCCTTCCCTTGGTGAGGTGGGGTCTGTGCTCACTTCTTGCATCAGGACAGGCCTATCATTGCAGCAGAAGTAACATTTTACATATAGTGATTTTCAAGGTTAGATCATAAAAGGTGGTAATGCCTGGTCCTTTTCTGATACTCCCTCTTGGGATCCAGCAACTGTGCCAAGAGAAAGCCTAAGCAATTCTTTCAAAGACCAAGGCCTTGGCCCTCAGCTG